ATTTTTTGTTTCATACCTACTGTCGTACTAAATATGCACACCGAATTTGCTTAAATTATCTCAAGCGGTTTAAAAATTAAAAATTAAAAATTTGTTTTTTTTTTATTTTTGACACGCTAGACAGTTGCTGTCCTAAGACATTTATATAACAAAAAATCCTTATTTTTGGCCACAGAATACGTCCCTGGATTTTTGACCTGTACTTATGAAATACTTTGTATAATTACTTAAATTCATTCAGCAACTGTAAATAAAATATAAATTTGACTTTTTATCGATCCAAATCTTGGTCTGCGGAATAGTACCATGACGACATAATTTTATGCCTGATTTATGATTCTAAAATTTGTAGCCAAAGTTATTCGTCGAAAGCTATAAGTCCAAATAGATTGTTTGAACCTAATTTACCTCGATAAAGTAGACTGTTTAAAACAAATTTATTAAAACTACTGAAATGTCATGCTGATAGCAGTGTCAATAATTTAAGGTATTATTTCGTTTAAAATATACTTTGCGGGAAAATGGCTTATTTAAACGCAGACATAATGATGATTAACGAGCCCGATATTCAAACAAATGACAATTAAGAAATTGTTTTAAATATTGTCGAAGAAAATCATCCAGTTTCCACAATAAAAATTTCTCAATGGCTACAATGTAATGTATCACACTTTGTAGTACAGCGACAGTTAACGCCATATCATATTTGTTTTCTGCAAAAGAATTTTACAAATATTTAAAGGAAATCGTAACTTCTCTAATCTCGTATTGTTTACTGATGAAATGGTATTTTTAATACCCATAATATGTATACGGTCCTTACGATATTTGTTGACATAGAACTCCAAGAAAACCTCTGCGTGACTTTCCTGGAATTAACCGCATTCGACATCCGAGGTAGAAAGACACTGGCGGAAAATTTTAAGGCACGCCCCTGCCGTGGTAAATTGTTAGAGTAGTTCCGATAACAGAACTTTATTGGCTTATTTTTTTCCTCAACAAATATTGTATAGACTGTATCTGTTTCTGTGACTGTGATGAAAATTCTGGGACATGCGAATTCCAGCAGCAGCACTCAATCCATCTGAATATATGGATGATGGATGGATGATAATAAGACATTCCCTTAAAGAACCTCACATGATATCACGTCGTTTAGGAGAAGAAGATTATGTCAGTTTTTTAGAAAATAATTTAGACGACTTTCTTGATGAGGTTCCATTGGCAGTAAGGCAAAAAATATGGTTCATGCACCATGGCGCTCCAGCACACTACTCTTATATTATTATACGTCAATGGTTGTACTAACATTTTCCCAGAAGAGGTCACCACGTCTCTTGATCTCAATCCTCGCGACTTTTACCTTTAGAGATATCTTAAAGGCCTGGGTTTATTATACTTACTCTTTTTATTTCTGTAGATATTTTGGAAAACATCGAAGTTCGAATATGGAATGCTGTAAATGAACTTTACAATAAAATTAAATTTTTAATCGAGTGAAGTATAATTTTAGACGAAGACTTCGTGCTTGCCAGGAGACTATTCTGAGAATAATCTCTAAGTTATTACTAGTTTTTTTAAATTTTAGATGTATCTTCTACCTACAACAAATTTCGTCGAAGGTTATCAATATGTACATAATTAGTATTACTTTTTTTGTTGTTCATTTTTACTTTGAAATAATCAATACAATCAAATTTTCTCATTTAATATTAAATGTATCAAAAACACTTTAAATTACTGGCACCATCAATAGATTTTATTGATATTCACTTGTAATATTCACTCTCTGTACAGTGTGAATGTCACCATTTATTTTAACAATAACTCAACAATTAAACAGCTTCTTGAGGTGTTGTTATAAAAAATTTATTATCACAATTAGTTAGTTTTGTTTCCACCTGTATACTGCTGTATTGTTGATACATCATGTAGATCCTTGTCACATGCTACAATTAGTTATAGAACACCGATTTAATGAACTATGTGCAATAAATGTTTACTATTTACCTGTTATAAACATGGAGAATCTTTATGTATGAATTGTAATGATGTATGTAATTGTATAATTCTAACTGTACAACCTTTTATTGTTTTTATTGTTATTATTTCCTTTTATTAATGTTTATTTGTAAACCAAATCTGGAGCATAACAGTTAGGTTACTTGTATGTCAGGATTGAAGGTTATTTTATTTGTTTAAATCACCATCGAGCCATAGACACACGGTTAGTGGACTGGATAATGTGTAGTTTGTACCTAGGATTTGGTCAGTGTTAAAACTCGTTCAGTGGTGATTAAATAGCAGTTTCCTAGTCTGAAATTTATTTTGTTCAAACGACCAATCATATCGATTGAGTTTTTATAAGATTTAATTGAATAAATCCCTTTTTGTAGCGCCCTCTTTCATTTTGCAACTAGTAAAATTTAAACCGAATAGTTTAACTTATTTTAATCACTTGTGAACGTCGAAATACATCGAAAAGAGCTTACCAGAAAAGTTTTAACATTTAGAAGTTTTAAGAAAATCAGAAAAGTTTAAACGTTTTAAGAGATTAAGAAAAGTTTTAGTTTTCGAAAAGTTTAGAAAAGTTGTTTTGAGAAGAGTCCCTAGTTTTTTTAAGTTTCGTTAAAGTATTACGAAATGTTGATGAAGATTCGTTTTGTGGTGTATACATTGTCCACCAAATAATGCCAAATCTGGCAATCCAGTGGTCAAAAAGAGCTCGAGCAACTGTCGCTGCTTCTTGGTCACACAGGGGTACAGCTTCTGGCCAGCGAGAAAATCGGTCAATCATGGTAAGACAGTACCGATATCCTTCGGATGGTGGCATGATAACTATGTCGATGTGTACGTGTTCGAACCTAGTTGAGGGTGGTGCACATTTTCCAAGAGGTGCAGATACATGGCGAATAACCTTGGATTTTTGGCATTGAACACAACTACGCACCCATTCTCTGCAGTTTGCTTTGATTTACGGCCAGACATAACGTTGCGTCATAAGCTTGACCGTCGCTCTTGTTCCAGGGTGGGACAGGCGGTGCACAGAGTCGAAAGCAGTTTTGCGAAATGGTTCAGTGATAAAAGGTCGAGCTGTTTGCGTGGAAACGTCACAGAATACGGATACGTCCGTACCAGGAATACGTACTGACTTGAGACGTAGTGAGGAATCGTCCTTAAGGTACTTCTGTAACTCAACGTCGTCTCGTTGTGACGCTGCCAGTGCTTCGTAATTCAATGCATGTCCCAACTCTTCGATACGCGATAGGGTATCCGCCACAACATTGTCTTTACCGGACACGTGACGTATGTCAGTGGTAAATTGGCTTATAAAATCCAGATGTCGGAACTGTCGAGGCGAACACTGCTTGTTCTTCTGCGTAAAGGCGAAAGTGATGGGTTTATGGTCGGTGTATACGGTGAACGACCTTCCTTCTACCATGTGTTTAAAATATTTCACTGACAGGTATATGGCGAGTAACTCTCTATCGTAAGCTCCATATTTTTGTTCCGCTGTACTGAGTTTCTTAGAAAAGAAATCTAAGGGTTGCCAGGTACCTTCTACGAATTGTTGCAGGGACGCTCCCACGGCAATGTCCGATGCATCACTAAAAATAGCCAGTGGCGCGTTATGTTGGGGGTGTGTCAATAAAGTTGCTTGGGCTAGACTCTCCTTACTAACCTCAAATGCGCGAACACTTTCTGCTGTCCAGTTGATGGGCGTTCTTCCCTTCACATTGCCTTTTAACAGTTCGTTCAATGGGGCCTGAGTCTGTGCGGCATTGGGTAAGAATCTCCTAAAGAAATTTAACATACCCAAAAATTGTCGCAGCTTTTTCATGGTATCTGGACGGGGAAAGGAACGGATTGTGTCCACTTTCTCAGGTAGCGGGCTTGTGCCTTTCTCAGAAATGAGGTAGCCGAGAAATTTTACCTCAGGTCTCCCAAAAATGCACTTCGCGGAATTCACTACAACACCATATGTCTTAAACCTTTTGTATAACAACTCGAGGTGTCGCAAATGTTCGCTGTGCGACGTCGATGCCACCAAAATGTCATCAATATAGGCGAAACAAAAGTCTAAACCTTGCAGCACTTCGTCTATAAACCGCTGAAAAGTCTGCGCAGCGTTGCGCAATCCGAACGTCATAAAATTAAACTCGAATAGTCCAAATGGCGTAGTAATTGCGGTTTTCGGAATATCTTCAGCTGCTACCGGAATCTGGTTAAATGCGCGCACTAAGTCTATGGTACTAAACACAGTTTTATCTTGAAGCATCTGAGAAAAATCCTGAATGTGTCTCACAGGATACCGATCGGGAATTGTCCTCGCGTTTAGGTCACGGTAATCGCCACAGGGTCTCCACTCGTTGTCTTTTTTCGGCACTAGGTGCAATGGCGATGCCCACGAACTCTGTGATGGACGGGCGATACCTAGTTGCACCATGGTCTCGAACTCGCGTTTCGCAATTTTCAACTTATCTGGCGCAAGACGTCGCGGTCGTTGCGTAACCGGCGGGCCAGGTGTCGTAATTATATGGTGCCTGGTATTGTGGTTGACGAATTGAAAGCAATTCATGAAAGGTTGATGTTCCTGAAATGGTTTTAACACTAGGAGCTTCACACTCGGTCACCTCGCCTCGCAAAGTAAGATGAGATTTTGATCTAGTAGTCCCCCTTTTGAATGTTTATGAGTAGTCCGTAATGAGCTAGAAAATCGGCGCCTATTATAGGTTTGGCCACGTCCGCCACTACGAATTTCCAGGTAAATTGTCGTCGCAGTCCGAGATTTAATGACAGGTTAATGGTGCCATAAGTGTTAATGACTGTACCATTTACCGCGCAAAGTTCGTAGGTCGATTTTTTTCGCGGTTTCGTCATACGAGAGACCGGGTAAACACACAAATCCGCACCAGTGTCTATTAAAAACTTTATATTTGTGGATTTGTCTATGACGAACAAGCGGCGCGATTTCACTGGGCTAACGTCATCTGCCGCCATCAACGACTGCCCCTCTCGTTTCCCGCAGCTTCTGTGCTGTAATTACACGGTTTTCGGCACTTATTGGCTTCCGGACCGAACTTCCAATGGTACCAACACATACCGTTATTCTCCTGTCTTCTGTCGCGGGATCTCGAACGTGAGCGTGTCCTGGACCGTATATAACGTCGCGGTGGATCGTCCGGGCATCTAATTTTTATAGCAGCGAGTTCTTGAAGTGCAGTAGTAAGCGCGTTTTGCATGTAATCTAAACGTGCATTTATGGAGGCCACGCCGGTGGTAGCTTCAGACACTTCTGCGTGCGGGCCATACACATCCGCCACTGAATCCGCGATTTCCGCTCTTTTGTCCAGGCTAAGATCTTTATGCCCCGCAAGAAGAACTTGTACCTGTTTAGGTAGGCGATCTAGCCACAATGTCTGTAACACTTCTTCCGGGAATGCAGCACCCGCGAGTTCGCGAAGATGACGGAGGAACTGCGACGGCTTGTGTCGAGCCCATTCTTTTAATGAGTTCACTTTTTAACAGAGTATATGAATGCTCACTCGTGGGTCTAACTATGATGTCGCGCACTTCCACGGCATATTTTGGGCCGAGACTGCTTACCGCATAACCGTATTTCGTGCTATCGCGAGTTATGCCTGCGGCCTCGAAACTGCTCTCCAATAATGTAAACCACAGCTCCGGGTCTGAGGGAATAAACGGAGGCACTCTCACAGAGACATGGTCCACTGATGGTAGGCTCGATCTGTTGTTGGCATCGGGGGTGTTAGGCATGATGTCGTTCACTAATTTTCACTGGTTTGGTTTTCAGATCACGTCGGGGTCACCACTGTGGTGTATACGTTGTCCACCAAATAATGATCACACCAGTTAGTCTAATTCTTTATTAGATTTACACACAAAAATTGAAGTAATAACACTTGCTGTGCCGATGCCGGTCAACTGGAAAGTGTCCCGAATGCCTGCCTAAGGGTACGGTCAGCTACCCACAAGGGTCGTTATTCTTTTTGATTTATGACACCACCAGTACTCCCGAGACAGGCAAATCCGTTTCAATACAATTTCTTATTGTAAATATTTTCTACGAACGCAGAGGCGTACCAGGGAACGTGTGTCCCCACAGTTTCAAAGAGTCACTTAAATACTTATGTAAAATTTCAATTTAGCGAAGATCAAGTAGCTAAAGATTAATAAAGTCACTGCAATTTTGAGTTCCGCGTTTGAACTAACCTGATGGTAACCTGACAGGGATTAGGTCAACCCTTCGTCTCCAGATTTGAGTCTTCAAATCCAAGACATCAGACCCCTGTAGACACCCCGTATTCCGCAGAACATCCTGGACAACGTGTGAGAAATATATTGGTGAATTTTATGTCTGCTTTTTTTATTTTACGCCAAATCCCTACCTACAGGGTGAGAAAACCGTTAGGGGTTATGATTATTTTTGCTTAATTTATTTGTAGGTTGGCGCCCTTTTTAACATATTTTATCTCCCCATAACGCTTTTCTCAAACAGGAGAAATTATACGTTGGAATCAAAAATTAGAACCAACCCACTTCCCGTTGCCTCCACTATAAGAGCTGCCGTTCGTCCTTTGTCGTTTGAACTCTTTTAAAATAAACGCGATACACTTGAAAACAAGACATTGCTTGTGTGCCAAATTTGAAAAAATATCTCCAGGTGTTTATGGAAATTTGTACTTGTACTTTTTTTATTTTAACTTTAAAGGGCTGCAACTGGTTAGAAGTGCATTATGGTATCCTGGCAAACAATCTATTTTGACCTCTAGTTTCCACCGTATATTTTAGTATCAATTTGTATAGATGTGTGTTTAGTACAATACAGTGAAAAATTGTCATAGTAATATTCATAATATTTATATTAAACTAAAGGTTACAAAAATATTCACATGTAAGATTAACGTATTAGGAAATTTTCTTAAGTTTTCAAAAAGTATACAGTGTTAATGAACTTATGTCAAAAATTGAAAGAGAAGCAAAAATTGAGTTAACTGATGTAACAAACTTGTATCGGAAGTTTAAGGCCATAGTGAAAAAAGCTAATTAAAAATGTGTTTAAAACTGTTTTGGAACTGCTGAAATACATGTATTTTAACGCGGCGAGTACTTACAAAAATTCTGTAACACTTTTTACGAGTTTGTAGGTTTTTTATGAAGCCGGAATGTATTCGGAATTCAGTTTGTAATACATTGTTGTAGTGATTGCTGTGCTGTTTTTCGAGAGTACATTTAATAGCCGTATTTCCAAGTTCTCTTTTGAAAATGGCGCATTTATTTAGCAGTCGCGAATATTATGATATACTCATAATTTATAGCGAAGCAAACGAAAATACCCACAGAGCTTGTCAAGTGTACCGTGCAAGATATCCTGAACGACGTACATCCGCACCAGAAATATCGCACAGCAAGTAAATATGTCGCATCCTGTTGTGTGGCGGACATTACGAGAAGCTCAGTGATACTCATTTCATATTCAACGTGTTCAAGTGCTTACTCCTGAGGATTTTCCAATAGGTCGAGGTTTTTGCGAATGGTTGCTTCAGGAACATGCAAGAAATCCTCAATTTACATCGCAAATACTTGTTACAGATGAAGCATGTTTCAATCGAAATGGTGTACGTAACGTCCACAACACTCACCACTGGATTATCGAAAATCCACACGAAATACGTCGCGGTGCCTTTCAGGAACAGTTTTCAGTGAACATGTGGGCTGGTATCGTTAATGGCACTTTAAGAGGACCTTTTGAATTCCCTAGACGCTTGGACGTTGCTTCATATCTATATTATGTAGTTACTGCATGACGAAACCCCCGCTGACTTTTTTCGGAGAGTGCGCGAATTTTAAACATTACTTTTGCCGATCCCTGGATATGCCCAACCTTGTGCTTCGCGTGCGACAGTCTGTTTCTAGCACGTAATAAACTTGTTTTTGAAACCTCTGTTCATTACTCCAAGGGCCCAAGTGCGAAATTGGCGCAGTCGGTAGGATTGTCAGTTAACTCCTTCCGTCGTTAATTGGAGTGAAGGTAGGAGACGCTCTGGTCAGAGATACTGATTCATCGAACTCTTGGGAACCCTGACCTGGAGAGTGTAGAACTACAAGTGAATAGGGGAAAATAGTGAAGGGCTGAATTGAGTAAGCTCGTTCGTATGCAAATCGCGAAAGTGAAGGGCTGAACTGAGTATGTCCGTCCCGTCGTTTGTGTTTTGGATTACCACCAGACCTGTCTTTGCTGCATCCTTAGGGAAATTTCCTGGAACCGGAGCTACGTTGGTAAGTACCAAAGTGCTTGTACTTGACTCTCTATCCTTTTCAAACGCATATTAACAGTGGTAGGTTAGGATTAGAATCATCCTGTTTAGTAATAGGTTAAAGCTAAGAATGTCTAATTGAGAAAGGTAATCAAAATTTCTATCGTAAAGTTGTTTATCTCGACATATGCATAAATCCTTTGTGCCGTATCGAGTTTCTGCTAGACTTGCATGGACGACCAGTCCGCTAGAACCAGAGTGAACCATGTTTTGCTGAACCATTTACAACTAACTTATCTATACAAGGAAACGTGGACTATAATACCATGTCACACCCGCAACCAAAAGCGAGCACCAGTTCACAATCAAAAGAATTAGACCCGCAAAAGTTGAATTTCCTAAATTCCACAATACAACCTTTTGGTGGTTCGGAAATTGAATTGATTCAATTTTTAGAATCTGTCATTCATAACCGCTTTAGATCTACCTCAACCGACCGACATAGAATCGCGCCTGGTTATAAACATAATCAAAAGCAAACTAAAAGGACAGGCAAAAACACTTATCTTGGGCAGACCTGAGATAAATACTTGGCAAGAAATTAGAAACCTTCTAATACAAAATTTTAGCTATCATATCACCTCAATCATGGCAGAACGATATTTGCCTGTTGCAGCGTGATATCTGCGAACCACTACAGCTATACCGTCCAGACCTGATTTAAATGATATAGAATCGGTAGTCCAAGCCATACTTGAACTTGAAACATATTTCGAATACAAAAACATGAACCGTCGTCCACCTCAAACTTCACAACAAAGACTTCCTATACCATCTATTAGACAAAACTTACCCCCTAAACCGAGTTATAACTATAAACCTCAATATAATTAAAATCAACAACCAGACTTTTTACCAAGACAATTTCCATTATCTCAACCTACTTCACGACAAACCCAGCCACCTATAAGTCCTCCCTATGACCAAAATAACTGTAAAGACAAAAAAAGGGAAATGCCATAAAAATAAGGTTAAAAAGAAGCGACAAACTAACTACAGAACAATGAAGCTTCTTCCTCTGCCTTTGTCCATAATAACGCTGATGATAATACTGACGAGGAATACAACCACGACAATAGAAATAGAAATATTGAAGAACTCTATCCTTCCTATAAATCTACATCCCCTTAAAACTATATCCTTTTATCATTATTTTGTTCACGTCCTTAACTTGACGGAAATAGAAGAACATTATAAACAGACTCCTTGTATCTTCAGAAAGTATACCTAAAGAAAACCAATTCTGGCATATCCAATTACATTATCTTGCGGAACGTATTAGGCAAAAATTTGAAATTATTCCCCTACCACTACAAAACGCGAAAAATGTGGTATTTTTAATTTCGTCGGGAATATCTATTCGGAGTTATTCGGTCTAATGAGCGCCGATGATAAAGACCTTTTAGAACAAAAACTGGAAAACAAAATATAATAACGATCAGTTGAATACGAAACTTTCCGTTCTAGAATCATTTACCAGTGAGATACAAAATGCAATGAAAGATATTAACAACTTTTGGAAAACCTCAAATGATTTCTTTGAAACTCAATCTCTAATTAATGATTGCTTGGTTACGTTGGAAATCTTATATCCAACTGGCTTATTATTTAGTTAGATGAACATCGTACATTCCGATGTAATTTCACCAACAACTATCGCTGGGATTTTCAAAATCCTGAATACTTTATATAATCCCGAGGAATTACCCTCTCTGGATCAAAGTTCAGTTTTTACTCTATTCCACATGAAAAATTACGTATCAAGTTCAGTAATATATATATATGGAGATTCTGGTTCCGATCTACCATGTCAGTGAATATAACCTATTCCAAATATTTATGTCATCCTCAAACCTGTCCATTATTCCCCCTGAAAGTTACTTAGCACTTGGTATCTCTGCTAGTGTTTACTAATGGTTGAAAGAAAAACCCCCAAAAGTTGGCAGATACTACCAACTCCAAGAAATGATATACGAAAAACCATCATCCTGTATCCCAAAAATGATTATTGGCCATGACGCGTCAAATTGTACCTTCTACTATTTGAAGCACCCTAAAGATGTCATCACTATGTTACCCTCCGGGCAACTGCTTATCCTACCAAGCAAAACAGTGCGTGTAGAGGCAAAATGTTCCCATATCATCCATCACTTCCTCTCATAAGACTCATTATTATCTAATCAAGAAGGGTGCATCCTACGTATTGACGAAGAAGAATATTTCTTACCCACCACAGATCTACAAGCCTCGACAATTCTTTTACCAGAAACAAAACAATTCAAGATATCGAATTTTACGTTAGACAACACCATAAATAAGTTAGTTCTTAAAGTCCGATGTAAAAAGAATAAAATATGTCCAATTGACTGAACCTGCATCAATTGAACCGACATCAATCCCCTGGACAACCTGGCTTACCTGGTCCCTTATTGGAACTAT